GGTTCAACAGCACAAACGTAGTGGTTTATCTCTGCCGCCCTACATTGGTTTGTGGTGGGCACTGCGTGGGCCATCGTCCACGTTCCTAAATGAGGTACCTGATGTTGAGGTACGGAAGTTGATAGTTTGTACAGCAACGACGTGACAGTATATGGTGCCTCCCTACAAACCATACCTAGGTCACTGAGATAGAGAGGTGGGAAGGTAATAAGCATAAAGGTTCTATTTAATCCACTTTGTGTGCGGGTCGTACTTCAACTTTTTCACTCGTCATTTGACACCACTCAAATTCTTAAATAAACATCAATTACCACACCCTTCCTCCACCCACTATACCCTCCTTCCTTCACTCTTCCCCAAACTTCACTCGCTCCAAACCGTCAACTCCCTCTTGACTTGTAGAAAGTTATCGTATATGCTGAGTGTTGTTGTTGTTGCCTTCATATTCACCCCATTCAGTCCTGACCTCTTCGCCCACTTCGTTTCTACAGATCCCTAAGGCATTCGCGCTTCCTTCAGCCACCTTGAACTCCTCGATCAACGCAATACCTACTTCTTCATCCGTGCTTTCCCCCACGCACCCACCGTGGTACTACCACCAAGCACACCGTGCATACATGACCCTAACTCGCTCAGGTGGTTGGTTTCCCTTTAGACTTTACCTTTGAGTCACACTCAGGTACTGTATGATGGGTCTATTCGGGAAAGGACATCCTCGTTCTCGGTAAGTAGTACATTGGTACCTATGGCTAGCAGATTCGATCATCATTGTTTGCCCTTCACAATGGATGGTTTCCAGCCAAGACCCACTCCCCTGGCCTTCCTATCATGAGCACTCTCTATGGCTTCTCTCCGTTGCGTTGTGGTTATCACAATGCTTTGTGCAGCTGGCCATTTTGTCTTTGCCCGTCTCTTACCAAAGCATCCAACTCTCACCTGCCGTTCCAGCCATGTTCCAACGAGCTAACAAACTATTCAGGAGCACTGGCTCTATCACGCCGCAGCCGCTTGTACAAGACGCAGATCACGATGCTCTCTTCCTACCTCTGAATGATAATGTCTATCTTACGCAAACTAAGGATGGAAATCCGGCTCTTGGCCGGAAAAAAAAAGGTAAACTCCTGCAAGACTTTGGATTCGATATTCTGGGGCAAAGTTTCGGCATCCCATCCCGCAAGGATTATGAGAGACAGCCCCGGCCGTTGAGTGCGGCATCTCAGAGCTCAGGCTTAGTTACTGTCCCAACAACACCTCGAAAAAACCGAGCTTACACCTATGAGGATACCGAGTCACCGGCAGTTCGTCGTAGGGCGGATAGCAGGCACTCCTCTTCTACAACCCTTCCCATTGAGGTAGCTCGATATGATGACCCAGGTAATTCAAGCTTGCCTCAGGCTACAACATACAAGATGAATCCTTTACTTCCAACATTCAATCAGCATAATATCCCGCCTCCACCCCCACCTCCCCCATCCGTCGTAGGCTGGCGTACTCACCCGATGGTGAATACCGGTGTGGCCCCTATTCCAATGAGCTACTGTAGCGCAGCTTATCAGCCTAGTCAGCTACCTAGATACTCTTGCAATAGCCCTGCGAGGTTCCAGGGCCTTCCGAACTGGGCAAGCCCTCAACAACATATAGCACAATACCCAGGCCATCTGGGAATCTCTATGCCTCAAGCTACAGCAGCACCTATGTCACCACACCACCAGCAACCTCAACAATTCCAGCCTGTTCAGATTTCACATACACAAGCTATACCGGCTGTTCGCCTAGCTAACATTCTTCCACCGCCGCCACCGCCGCCACCGCAGGATTGGCTTCAGGCCCACGCCATGACGACTAACCAAAGAAAAATGTCCCGACAGCACACAAAACAAACTATCGGGCAGCCTAGAGATGCGGGAAAAACGCATGAGAAGCCCAAAAATAATGAAGAGGTGACACGACGTCTTAGCAAACGCATCCGTCATGTTCACGTCTGCGCCGGATGCGGTAAGAAACGGTCTGCACGATACCAGAAGGCGCACCCGCTAAAGCGAGGCGAGGTGCCAGCAGTAAATTATTGTTACAGCTGCTTAAAGGATGCGGCAGACACAGATTATCATACTTCCGACGACGACGACGACGGTGGTGACCCTCCCATTATAAAGGTTCGTACCAAACATAACAAACTCGACATGTCACCCATGAGAGCTAGGAAGATGCGGCGGAATCGCGAAGAAGCCGGTGTGCCCTGGCCAAGTTCGGACGAGGGCCGTACTATCGCTGGAGGAAATTATACTTACGAGCAAACTCGTCACGGCCCTCGTTGGGTTAAGAAGTCTAATCGCTTTGGATCGTTCTCTCGGCTCTTCTCTCGTCGAGTTACCTCCAACCCTTCCCCTCTGCGACCCGGATCAGTCTCTTCCGTCTCAGGACCAAGGTCGAGAGCCTCATCAATTGTATCGGATCTGTAGGGCAGCCGTTCTTTTGATGAAACTAACAGATCTCCTGTTCGTCATAGCGACAGAAGGGCTAGTAGCAGAGCTGTTCGAGAACCTGAAGCACCAACTCCGTCTCGGACGAGATATGCTAAAACAGATTCACGGAGTGCAAAGCACAATTCTCCACTCGTACCTAGGGAGCCCGATAAAGTCAACCATGCGGGTAAGGTTCAAAGTACGAATGACACCAAGTCGGCGGTTGCTCGACCTCGCACTCGCATTCCACGGCCACGGCAACGGCTTGGGTCTATTGGTATCGGAATCTCCCCATTTGCGGACGGCAATGACCTGGCGCGTATCTGTAGTTCACCCCGTCTGGGCGCAGATGGCGATACGGAAGTAGTTCCAGAGCCACAACTTGCAACGGAGACATCACCGAAGAGCCTAGATCGAAAAAATCCCGATGAGATACACGGAGCTTTGAAGCAAGCAAATACTCAGAGTAGTACCCACGAACGGGTGAAGAAGGGCCGACGATCTGCTTCGAAAGCCGCTGATCATAGAGACGCAGGTAGCAAAGCAAGGGGTCTTGATACACAAGCGTCCATGAAGGAGCCTTCAAGAACACTGGTGGATGCAGGCCCGGAAGTAGTTTTGGAAGAGACTACTAACAAGCCCACTAACTTCTATGATCCAAGCTTTCGCTCCGATGGGTTCCGAATTTCATCGAGCCACAGTCCTAGAATGAATCCAGAGCAAACAAAGACTCTTCACCAACGTCCCAATTTTAAAGACAGAGGACAATCGCCGCCGAGTAGTAATCTACCAAGAGCGGTCGACGAATCGAAGACTTTCTTCAACTGGGACGAGCCGCCGACGCCCACGGATATTCCCTATGCCAGTGATTCCAACCCCCCCTGCGTTGTGAGCGAGTTGTGGTCGGATTATCAATCAGATATGGAGCGGGCGGCAGAGGAGATGGCCGAGCGAGACCTAGCATTTGCGGGTAAGCTCTTTGATAGCCTCTCGGGCTCCTTAGGTGGCTCGGCGACTTCTGCTTTTCCAGTGTCTAGTTTTGTCACGACCAGTAACATGTCGATAGTGAGCTATAATTCCGATTCGGATCATGGCGACGGTGGTACTGTGACCCCCATCGTCACAGAGGTTGACGCAGAGGAGGATGTAGAGGCCGAGACGCCTACCAAGCAAATTGGTATGTTTTGTTTATACCGCGTTATGTTATTGAATTTTATTGATACGCGGCATTCTCTAACAAGATATACAGAGTTCTCTAGCGAGGAAGAACAACAGCAGAAATTTGCAAAAACCAAACCAAACGCTGAGCTTTCTCTAGTTCGCCGCAAGCACTCAGCAAGTGGCTGTACAGCTAAACTTTTAGATCGCCAGCAGAACGATATGTACACCGAAACGGATGACGGACAAGTTGACGACGATGATTTTAACTACCCCTCGTCGCCTGTTGGATCTTCCCTTGTTGGCCATACAGGACATTCGGTGGAAAACCTTGTACAGAAAACCCCTGCTCAACTAGCCGATGGTAATCGCTTGCGCCGCTTAATGCGATTGTCATCAGCTTGATCAGATGATTCTTTTTTTTAAAAAAATAACCAAGCCACCAGCAATCACGACTGGCACACCGGATATTGCCATGACAGCAGCTGTTTGTTGTGCTTCCCTGGTGGCAGGCACAATGACTGGACATACGCTACTGAAATTGCGTTGTTTGAATACGATGGCAGTCAAAAATTCTGCTATGATAATCTTGTTACAGTACCTACCCATGTCTGATATAACGTTTTCATCAAACGAAACGGCTTTCCTTCTTGCCGCGAGAGTAGGACTGAGGAGAGCACAAACGCGGAGGAGGAGATACATGAGGCGAGAAGATAAAATACGGAGAGGAGAGTTGCATTGTAGGCTAGCACCTCATTCATGTATTTGGTTGCGAAAAGCTGTGCCGGGCGGTAGAGATGCTGGAGGGTGAATTGTGGTAATTAGTAGACAGACCAGACAATCGATACACACGTGAAGTATTCATGGGCTTGTTTGTTACCCTGCTTACTTGATGGCATGACCCGTGCGTTAAATTTGGCGACGTGAATGAATTATTCGTGCTCTGGAGTGTTTAATGTCCTGCCCGCTGCCGAGGTGCTGGATACTGACAGGAAGGTATCTGCGGATACAGGTGATCTATCTTCTCTGCTTCTTACACTAATATCCCGCCATCGCGATGATCCCGAATGGGAATAAACGCATAGTCCTACCACGCTCTGGTATACGCTAGCCGTATTTCCTGTAGAATGAATGAATGCCTGGCATTTAGCGAGTTGGGTAGATAGATAGATACTAACCTAGGTAGCGAAGGCCCTTTCATATCTCTCTCTACATACAGTACCTAGTAGTATATAGAAAACCTGCTGAGTAAGTGAGGCGAAGTTGAGGTAAAACCTACTTAACCTTACTACCCAGATCGGTACGGTGGTCCACCCCTTTGGGGAAACCTATTACTTGACCGTATTTTGCAGTTGGAAATGCCACTAGCAAGCAACGATAGCCCGCTTGGCTCACCGGTAGAGCGCCTCACTAGTATACTTACCCTCTGAAGTATCTCTAGGAAATGAGGAGGCAACTGGTTCGACTCCAGTAGTGGGCATACTTTTTCCACTTTTTCTTTTTAGAACATCAATTCTTTTCTGTTATTTGGTCAGAAATCGATTTTTTGGGGGGTATTGAATTTTTTTCTTCGAATTACACAAAATGCAAACTATAGCATGCAAAACACATTAAAACAACAAACAGTCTTGTTTTGTGTACTGTCTGTCGCTTCAGTGGGTATAAAATATATACATATAGATAGGTGAACGTGCTTAACAATACCGGACCACGCCACTACTATGTGTTTCTGATTCTCCTATAGCGAACGGTAGTACTACTGCATGTTCCGGTCATGGAGAACTCATTCGTTTATTCACTTTTTTACAGTATGCGCCGCGCTTACGGAGGCTGCTTTTATCTTCCAGTAAACCACCCGAAAATACACTTATAAGTAAAGTCTTTACAAATAGTCTGCTTCAATCCCTTAGCGGGCAAGTGCAAATCTCGTGACATCCCTACTCTTTACTCTACTCTGAGTACTCTCGGCCCACGCTTCTTAATGGCCTTCTTCTTCTTATGGCCTCTTTCAAATGAAGCTGCCGCGGCATGGTCTCGCCCAACATTGTCAAGATCTTTGACCTTGTAAATTCGGATGATCCAGTTCTCTGATGTGTAAGCCTCCTCCAAGCTGTTGAGAACGGGGCTCTGATCAGGGAGCCGTGCGCCACGTACGCGGTCCTGCGCTTGTCCTGGAGGGAACAGCGATGCATAGTTGTGATATGACATCTTGTACCTATTTATGTTATTAGCATATGCTCGGACTCCCATAGGGCGATTAAACTTACATCAAGCTGTTTTTCATAGTCTCGGAGGCGTCGGCGTCAACTTTGTACTCGCCACGGGGGGTGAAGAAGTCGCGCTCCTTAACCTCGTCTGGCCAGATACCCTCGGCGATTCTTACCATCCACAGGAACTTATTGATATCGTCGCCAGAGTAGCCGAGGAGACCGCCAAAGACAACCAAGACATAGTCCACTTCGTGCTGGCGCATAATGGGATAGGCTACTTCTTCACGGGAACTCATTGCCTTTCCGACAGTGGCAATATGTGTGTTGTTCCAGGTATTGTTATCGACCAAGGTAGGTCGGTCAGCCATTCCACCAATTTGATAACCATAGTCCCACCACGACATGATCTTGGCATCCTCCTTGGTGTTTTGTCGAAGCCATTGGTAAGCCTCACGGTAGTCATCAATGATGTGCTGGCTACCATCCGGCATTCGGCTTGCAAGAACGACCGATGGGGAGGAATAGGCGTTGGACGTGACCCAGGTGCAGTGTTGAACAAAGATAAGGAGGAAGAACGTCATAGCGCCGGCGATGAAAGTCTTGGACAAAAGGTTATAAATGCCGACCACAGGTTGAGAGGCTGAACGCAATGAACTCTGCTTGGATGACTTCTTGGACCCATCCGAGGATTCTTCTTCCTTATTATCGACAACTTCGGGAGACTTGTATTGCAGATAAGTATCAAGGAGTTGAGACGCGGCAATTGCGGCGGCCACGCAAACAACAGGCGTGAGTGTTAGCATCAAGCGTACCATGACACCCGCAAAGTAACTGCCGAACAGAGCATAAACAATGATGAATACATGCTCGTCCTCAAGTTTTTGAAAGCACATGTACACACCGGCTGGGAATAGCCAGATCAACATGTTAAGGTCGAAAAAGAAGGCTGGCCAGGCAGTCGGTTGATGTTCTGAGACGGATGCAATGATGGGAATGTGGACCTTAGCATATCCCGTATCCCAAAGAGAGTAGAACCGACCAGACCAAGGCGCAATATAGCCTCCCGCTGTGAGACCAACGAGACCTAGCAGACCAACTCCGAAAATGCCTCCCAAGCCTACATACAACAAATTTCGGAATTGGCGGCTTGGGACGGCGGATCGAACGTATTCGAGGAAGGCCACAAGCTGGAGGAAGCCGAATATGCCTAGTTAGTGTTAGTAAGTCAATTATGCACGCAAGTCCTGGCGCGCAATGGTATTATACTCACCTAGCGCGGGCATATGTTCGCTGGTGCGGACGGGCAAGAAGCCAACAAAAGGAATCTGCATGCTAGCCAACGTTCCTAGAGCATACCATGTGGTGTATGCGACGTAAAGGCGCAGGCTAAACCTTCCCATGCAAATGAGAACAAACGCATGAAGTGGAACGAGACAGGTAATGAAGGCATAACCACCCCAGGAGGCGACCATGTAGCCGTAGAAGAGAGCACATAGGGCTCCCCAGAGGACAGAGCCGAGCTTCAGGGCCTTGATCCACAAGAAGAAAGTGAAGACAAGAAGGAAAATAGCAATGGCTTCGTTATCATAAGAGCCAGCGACGGAGCGCGAGATATAGCCGGGGGTGATTCCCATAAAGATGGCGGCGAGAAGGCCGGCGGAAGAGGAAGTCGTCATCTCATTGGTGAGGAGGTAGGCAGCGTAGGCAGTCAGGCCAGAGAAGGCCGGGGCTAACAGTACGCAAATGTTTCGAATATCGACGGGGACGGTCAGGAATCGGAGCAGGTGGTAGATGACGCCGCTGGTGACCATGAGGCCCGGGTACAGCGTACCACCAGTAACACGTCCCAGAGGATGCCATGTCCGGTCGTCAAACCAGTCCCAGAACTGGTAGAATCCGTTGGCGACGAGGTATTTAGTAGCGCGGAAGTTAAACCACGGATCGACTTGTAAAGAGCATTAGTTGAGAAGTAGAGAGAGAAAGAGAGGGCCATCGTAGAAAGGCAGAGTAGAGTAGAGGGGAATGAATGGTGAACTAAATGAACTTACATTCGTGGATGATACTCTCAAAGCCTATATGAAAGGACGAATAGATTGATTAGCCAAGACCGAATAATTCCCTAACAGAAGATACATACGTATGACGGAGAACAGACGACTCGCAACGGCGGCGGCGGCGATGATGGCTAGGATGATAACCTTCAACAGTGTCTTGGTGCTCTGGTTCCTGCCGAGCTCGACCAGCAGCTCGACTGGGGTCGACCTGGCGCCTGTAGCGACGGCCATTGTGAGGAGGGGATGCGACGATGCGACGATTGGGTGTTTGTGGGCGTCACATCTATGTTGGCATGAGTGAATTGGGTTTGCGAGGGAAAAGGTTGTTAGACTTTGCCAGAGAATTGAAGGCTACCTGTATAGGTACAATGTATCCAACTCGCATTGTTTGCTATGCGATGCTTGCCAAGAAGAGGCCCTGTATACCGGTAATGCTAGGTACAGGCGGGAGAGGACAGCTGTAGCTTTCACTGGACACGTAATTTGGCGAGCTAGTGTACAAGGTACATTGTCTCATTGTCTAGTACTGGCTTATCTGTAATACTGGTGGAGCTTATCGGTACATTCAGGCTTATCTATCATATCGTCATACCTACACATTGCATACATACATATATATGCATATGCAGGTACCTGTCTCTAGGATTTTTTTTCGAGGTATTTAAGACCTCAAACTTAGGTCTTCCTAACAACACACATACTCAGATCTACCTACCAACTATGATCAATATTTACAGTCTTCAGCTTCACCTGCCAATCTATGAGTGAGCTATAGGTAGTCAGTGTAAGTCAGTGCTTATGTGTTACATATTTCATTTTCTTTTTTCTCAAAGCATCTCACAATTGGCACGTACCATCTTGTCTATTTCATTCATTCTATAGTTACACATGTAGACATGCCAGCAAATACGCTTCGGCGTATATCGGCATTCGCTGTCAAATCTATTGACGCGAGTGTTTTCGCTCCTGGCAGAGACGAATCTTTAGACCCGTTGCTGGGCGCCCGGATTTGAGAGGTCGTTTTGTACTTCTTGGAGAATTCGGGAATCAGTAGAGGTTACATACCAACCAAGCTTGGTACTTAATAGTTTTGGGGGTGTCGGCAAATTTTTCTTGCCGTGTTGTTTGCCGGTTTCTTGATCAATGTTCTATGCCAGTTGATTTTGTTTCGGTATACTTGCAAATTTTCTTGACGTGACTCCAACGCCGGCGGATTGGTGTAAAATAACCCGACGAGGCGTTTAGTATTTGACAAAGGCAGGTGTTTACGGATGCTAGAGGCCGAAGTTGTTGCTTCACTGACTACAATATCCAGTCCCAAAGTTACTATCGCCCAGAATCCTTATTCTGGTATAGTGGCTAAGTGGTAAGCTTCGGTTGACACAAAAGGCCCCATCGCGAATTGTTGTAACCATAGATCAATTACACTGGGCGCTCTAGTCCGGGTGGCTGGTAATGTTTATGTGTTGTAACAGTGACCTTCATGAGTCAAATAAGGATGTACTCAGGAAAATAGGAAGGCCGATGTAACAAGCGTAGGGGCATATGAATATAACTGAAAGCAAAAAGGGAGGTAACCCAGAATAATTACCCGTAGTTAGGTATCAGTGTTAGCCGGAGCATTGACCTTGGAGTATCTGTTGCCTTTCCCGTGCTCACTATACACAGTAGACGTCTTGTTGATATATAGAGCCTCTTCGCATAAGCAAACCTAATACTTATTCAAATTCCAATTTTGCTAATCATGGTCACCTAATAATCCTCTTGTGGTCGAATTTTGTAGTGTATAATTGGGTATTTAACAAGGATACACAGCTTACCACTATCTATTAAATCATCCCGGATTGTGAATCAATCGTGTTTTCATGATCCATATTGTGAACATGATGGTCGAGCGTAATTCTTTCGAGACGTCCGGAAAGTCTTAATTGGTATAAGCGTTGATATACACAGATAACACAAGGAAATCTATCCAGTAGCTTCTCTGGAAGCGATGCAACCATACAATCATTGGGTTCGAGGCGAGGGAGGCCGTTTCGCAGGAGCGCAGGAGGATATGTAGTACAGATGGAGCGTCATGTGGCCATCCCTCTTATTAAAACTCTCAGCTTCAGCCTCGGCCCTGGGTGTCCTTCTTTCTCCCCAGTCTATCCCATGTCCGTTTGCTCCGTGTCTAAAGTATATACCGGGAGGTGCCCTAGGCCTTCTGTGACACC